ACCACGAGTTTTCGTTTTTATTTGGCGTACTATTTATACGCATTTTCATGAGACCGGGCTCCTTTTTATGGCGGTTGGCAAACAAACAAAAAGGTGCATTCCCGCCACCTACTGAGCTGGAGTGCGATTCATCGATGAAACGAGAAGAAAGACTAAGCTGAGAGAGAAATAAAAATAAAACGCTATTAGCAGATCGCCTTCTAAATCCTATTAAACAGATGCACCTTTCTTAAATATTTCATTAATGGTTTATATACTCTATAACTTTCCGATCCATTATTCAGCAGTTTTTTTTAAGTGTAATATTTCCTATACCCATTTCTTTGAACTCTTCCACCAGAATTATCCTTTCATTTTGATAAGCAGTGCAATATATTAATACATGCTCTACAGTTTCTGCTAATCCACATAGACTGCAATTCCCAGACTCATGACTGTTCATTCTATACAGGGAATAATTAAGAGCTGTATGTCCAAGGCGAAGTCTGGAAATGATTGTGTCTTCTCTTCTACTGCCACCACCAATTTTATTTTGAATCTGATAAAGATGTCTGCCTCTTTCCTCCTCATTCCATTGTACTTGCCAATTGCCTTTTATAGCTGTTCTAATTATAGCTTTAACTTCTTCTTTACAAAGTGGAATATTCAATTCTATAGAAGATCATTTCAGCTAGATGATCCACTTCCTCATTTCCATCTACTCCCACTTGTGCTGGAACCCACAGGAAACATATATGGCTTCCTAATGTTTTTACCCTGTACATACTTAAAAGAATTTCATATAGAATATCTTGTCTTGAAGATCTCCCACTAATTAGACTTGATAATGCTGAGAAAGAATCTGAGCACATCACCACATTCATTGGTCGAGAATGTACTTCCTAGTACACGCTGTCGGTGCGAATGCAACGCTTTAAATGGTACTGGGAAATAGTTTGCGCAAAATCGTCCCAGTACTTTAGTACTGTACATTTAGTTCTGGAACTAAAGCGGTGCGAAAGGCCCTATTAATTTTTACAGTGGGGTAATTTTGGTGCAGTAGCACGAGATAGCGTGATTTCAAACTTTGAATTGAATAAAAAATTACAAGTAAGCACTCAGTAATAAAATAAGAACAAATAAAGAAATTCATAATGATAGCACAAATAAAAAGTCACACTTTACAATTGGGTCCAAACCCCTTAACTGTCACCGTCCCACCTGTGGGACGCTTGGCACTCTTTTTTTTGTCGTCCTTTTTCTCTATCAAATCTTTCAGTAATCATCATAGCTTAGAAGCCCAAGATTCATCCTGTGAAAACCATTTTGAAGTCGGACATTGTGTTACCATGGAAATGGTACTTTAAAATGTTTTGGCGGTCTCCTCCCCCTTAGTGGGCGGTGTCAAGTGTCATATTACAAAATGCATTACGCTCTTTTACAATCAAAACTTTTTATAATCTTGACAAAAAACATATCATTGAAAAGGTCTGAGTCTCAGGATTCCATATTTAGTGGTTATGTTGAGATAGACGTAATATTGACAGAGAAATCTAGACATTTGTGACAGAAAAATGCATTAAAAAATGTAATGGAGTTTGGATGGCACCCGGTGGCTGTTTGTGGTATAACGCCCTAAATAAAATCTCACAG